GCAATGACATGCTACATAGCAATGCACACTTGTTTTTACATCGTAAAAACCCATGTCTAGTATATTTACTGATCTTTGGATGCAGGTACAATAACAAATTTCACCGCGTATTAGGGTTGGGCAATATTGGCCAAAAAAAAAAAAAAAAAGAATCACGATTAATTGTGGTATTTAGCCGATAACGATGAGGATTACTCCCCTGGGGGTCCCTGAATGCCTACATGTCCTGGTCACATGACCAATTTAAATCACTCTTGTAGGAAAGACTTGCTTTCCATAAAAATCTGTTCCAAGTTGTGTCAAAAGTACAAACTTCAGGCTATACATCAGTTATTAAATTGTGTTGATAGACCAAGTAAAACGAAGTTATGATAAATAAATTACAGAACATTTTTTTAATGTTCATCATATCTGAAGCAGAGAGGAGCACCAAGCGGACTGAGTCTGCCTGGTGGCATTAATCGTATTAGTCGTCGAATGCCAAAAAATAATCGATTAAAGTTTTTCTGATGATTAATGCACCTGATACGATTTTGCCCAACCCTACTGCATATTAGACAATGTATGATTGTTTCTTTGACACATACATTAGCTTATCTTAACTTAATGTAACTTAACTTATCTTATCTTCTGTAGGCAGCTGGACTGATGATTGTGTTTTTAAGCCTGTTGCACTGGTGAAAGTTTATTTCCGTTTACAAATATTCAATATACTGTATAGAGGAAAATGTACCTGCATTATTTAAATGACTATGAATTAGTTTTACTTGCTTTGCTTTACAGATCTTTTTGTTTTGGCCGTGAAGTAGAGACGGATGTTTTGATCACAAAACCAACCACATGTTTTTTCACAGCAGAAGTTTTCTTTTCTCCTGCGCTTCATGTTTAGTTGGAGGAGGCGGACCAGATCTACCTGCTCATGAAGGAGGACTATCGGATATCTCGAAATGTGCGCCTGGCGTGGTTCCTCAGTAAACTCAACCAGGTCATCTGGCCTGCCTCAGTGCCTGAAGTGGTGAGATAACCCAACCTCTTAGAGTTAAAGTGCCTGAACGTGCATTTCCTACAAAAATAAAAAGTGGAAGAAAACGTGTTCATATTTAATAAGAACAATACACATCTAAGCAGCGTGATTTTATTTTATTTTTGCTGCTTGTTGTTAATGTTCTCTTCCTGTTTCTCACAAAGATTTGATGTCACAGACTCTCAAAGCTCTTCTTATTTACCTTTATTATCTGTTGGTTTGTTCATCTGGAAAGGACTCTGAGGTCCAGAGTCCGCGTGAATTCGCTTATTCCTTTTAACAGGACATATCTGAGCTCTGTCAATATTTCAGAATGTGTTTTATGGAGGTACTGCCTTCTCCTCTCTTCCAGCTGAGCTCAGAGAAAGAGCTGGACCTGCTGAGCCTGTTACCTAAAGGATGGCAGCCAGGGAGCCCCCCCAGCACGCAGCCTTGTGTCTTGATGCCCTCCACCTGGGCCACCTTCCTGGCCCGCCGGTACCGCTTCATCATCGAGCTGGACCTCAGCCCCTCCACAGGGATTGTGGTGAGACGTTTGTTGGCTTTCATTCCCCTTAAAGCAGTGGTGGGCAATCCTGGTCCTCGAGGGCCGCAGCCCTGCATGTTTTAATTTTTTCTCTGCTCAAACACACCTGATTTGAATGAATAGGTGATTATCAGGCTTTTGCAGTACGGAGGACCAAAATTGACATAATTAGAAATAAAAGCGGAAATATATAAATTAACTAGT